CACATTTTCGGAATAACACTATGCGCTTCACTATTTCCTAATGTGTGTGGGCTCATAGGATGCTGGTATATAGGGGCAGAAGGAACAAAGTTTCCCCATGAGGTGTTTTTGCTTTGCTCGGTGGCACGGGAAGGGAAAAAGAAGAAGTGATTTGTTTAAGCCTTTATGTCGATCAGTGTGTCAGGTAAGAATCTAAACAGAAGGCAAAAAAACTGGATCAAATTCACAAGGTCGAAAACTAATGGTGAACTTCCCGGAAAATTAAAGAAAAAATCGTCTCGATGTCCCAAGCAAAATTCAATTCAGGTATAAAAAGAACGATGAGTAGAACGAAAATAGCAAGCCAATATGTAAAGCGCCGAATAAACCAGACTTAAAGTGAAGGGTACAAACAGCCCGTCCAAACAATGGGAAATCTCTCAAAGAGATAATACTGAAAACTAGTAGCTGTTCGAAGCACGGGAAAACACGATTAGTTTAAGTTGCATATGATTGGCTGAGAGGACGACCCGAGTTTTTGAACTAATCACTGGGTACTGAAATAATTTACTCTCGGCTTAGTTGCGCCTCTCGTATTTATACTAGAATTTTATATACCAGTACAATGTCAAAGAAACAGGTAGTTTCAGGGAAAGGAAGCTTCAGCTTTCTACCATATATCTCTCCACTCTCCCTTTCAATATTTTTTAGTCTAGTTTTAATCAACACCATACACTTTATAATAAACTGATGATTTCACTGAGTCACGTGTACATCTCGCATAAACTGTTATATTTATAGCACGGATGCTGTTCTAAGTTCACTTGGTGATTAGATCCTTGAAATATTAAATTCAAGTAAGGCTATACAAATTTTAATTTGCTTTGTTTTTCTACACATTCAGAGCTTTATCGTTTCTAGGAAACGTTTGAAAGTATCTAGATTGTAAAAACCACCTATCAGAACAGTTTTTCATTAGTGTCTTAGTACTCAAGATCGTTAAGACTTAATCTGACCTGAGAAAATCTGTTCCAAGGTTGGATGCGAATGTAAGCAATCGTACCTGTCTCGTAAGGGTTGTTGAGGGAAAAAGTCGGGAAAAAATGCCTTAGCTGCTGTAATATCTTTTTTGCGGAAGTTTCTCGTCTTGTGGTTTTCCAACAATAGGCTTGATCCAGAAGAATCAGCAGAACTTCCTGTGGAATTGAGCTGTACTTCTGCATGAGCAGAGTGAAGAGGCTCACTATGTCTTCTTCTCTTCAGCAAGCTTTTACGCTGGTAACTTTTCTCTGCTGCTCCATTGTGATCCTCTTTGTTGCACTCTCCTGGGATCAGGAGCTTGCCATACTTTAGACGTGATTCGTTGCCAAACGTATTCCCTGCAGCTTGTACTCCTTGAAGATCAGCCGTCAAATCTGCTGGATTGATCTCCATCCTTGTATGTATGAATGGACTCGGTAGAGAAGTAGGTCTTCTAGCCACCTTGCATACTCCTTGGCTGCACTCATTCTCGGGTGCTTGGTTCATCGCTCCTCTTAGCTAAGCGGTGGGAATTTATTCAAGGCCTTCAAACCCGATCTGTGTTTGCTTTGGTGCAATTCCTGTTTTTATGCTCGCTTTACGACAATGCACCCTGCAAATACTACAGCTATAGATCAAGAATGTATCCGGCACCAAAATGAAATTCCTAAGTCGCCTTGAACTGAAGCTTGATGTTTGGTGCACAGTTATATCAACAAGCATGGCTTCGTTCGTCGTCATCTTGTTACGTCAGCGTGGTCACGTTGCACTTCTTACATCCATCACACTCATCTGAACGTGAAGAGTAATGCTCCCAGAGTTTTGCCAAATCGTTTGCATCACTTTGGATGTCGAAGAATATCATTTTTGTGTTATTATTAAGGAATTAAATTTTATGCTTCGGATTCGTGTTCTTGAAATTCGATGGAAACCTTCGAAAACGACTATTCTAGGAGGTTCTAGTCTTTTTAACTGCTTCTACGTATGCAAGTTCGTTGAATGGCCTGCTGGGAAACAACATCTGTCCTTTCCGACATGGCCATTGTTGTCATGTTTAACGACCTTTCCAGTAAAAGGAAGGTCATTTATTTTCCTTCCATTTAGACTGCAACTTCAAAAGCATTCGTGTTTGTTACATAACTTTCACTCAAGCGGGCTTAGCCCTTTCTAGCAAAAGGAAGGTCATTCATTTTTCTTCTGTTCAGACAGCAACTTCAAAAGCAGGCGTGTTTGTTTTATAAATAAATGCGTTTTTTTTTTACTCTAGCTGGCTTAGCCCGGTACTAAATTTTTCATTTTACCATAAAAGGAGTTGACTGCAGTATAATACAATACCGGCGCGTTAATTGTTTGTTTAGCTGATGACCCGTGCAGACACATCTTTACGTGCGTTGAAAAGTAATTATAATATTCTGCTTTGTTCCTTGACAAAAGAATTATTTGAAAAAGATTTCAATTTATTTAACTTTGAATTTAAAAACCAAAAGTTGAATATGCGGAGTGAGGAGAACACAATTTTTCTTTCTTGTGAAAATGAATCCAACTTGTAATTGTCATATCTTTTTCAGCAGGTGAATATATTTAATATTTTTAGTTCCCTTTCATCAAACCCAAATCCATCTTTCGTTCATATAAGACAAACATAGGAGCCTCTTATTGATTAAATCAGGAGTGAAAAGAAGTAAACAATGATAAAAACGTAGATCTAATAAAATTCAGTGGCGCTCGTGTGTGAAACATTGAACATTTGTGTGTAGATATATGCAATAACTTTTCAAATGAAACGTGATATTTTAAAAGGCGAAATACTAAATGAACTATTGTCGAATTCTAAAACGAATAACACGTGTGTTGTTCGAAGACTTGTGACTGAAATCAGCTCAAGAAGAAATGTCATTGTGGAAAATATCGCACGAAGGAATTAACTTCTTTTTCATCGTTTATCCGATTTTACAGTGTGTGATGAGGCCGCAGTGTTTTTTTAGCTCTCACGAATTAGACGTGAGTTCATTTGGCCTACATCAGATATTTAATTCGCTCTTTGAATATGCCGCAATATTTGTCATCGTGCATTATCAAATCGTCAATTTCTCGCGCAAGATAGTGAAGAACTTAATCTAAGTAAGAAACTCGTTATTAAGCGCACGATAAATAAATTTTCAATTTTGTGCAGACTCTAAACTTGTGATTTTGTGATTAGAATAAGCTACTGGGTAAAGAGTCGGACATCTTATCAAGAAAGCTTCCGGCAATTCGTTGTTAATGAGGTTTCTTCGACGTCGCTCAGCCAATAGAATGCACCACTATTAACTACCCTCGTGACAGACCTTTCCTGAATATGAAAATTGACTGGGGAGGACTGAAGAAATACGGAGGAACATCATTGGTTTTTTATTCGTTTAATACGCAATGTTTTGAAAATAAAAACACTAGCTTTTACGTATAAAGTCTAACAAATTAATTTTTCCATATTTTGGGGTAGTTAATACATCTCACATTTGGCTAGACAATCTCATATCTAGTCTGCCATTCTATTCACTTGAATAGAAACAGGTGATAAATTACAACGTTTATGAGGGGTACGTGTGCATAAATCCAATTTACTGATCCATTCGAATTTTTTTTCACCGATTGCTAATAACTATCAAACGTAGTCAACACGTATTTCTCAAAGATGATCGATTAAGTTTAGATTGTTAGAATGATAATTGATATTGTTTCCAATATTCAAAGCTTGCTTCCTGATTAAGTCCTTGTTTCTCTGAAACACGAGCACTGCGAATCCGTCCTGAAAATACTTCCTCCATTGTCAGTTTTGCTGCCCATAAGCCACTGTGAGAATTATATCCTTGTTCTAGGTCTCTGGGAAAGAACTCCGGAAAAAGATTTTTAGCAAAATTTATGTCCTTCGAATGTCCATTCTTGGAAACAACTAGCCTTGACTCTCTCAAGTTCAGTTCAGTGCGAAGTTCAGTTTGTAATTGTGTATCTTCTGGTAAAGTTTTGATGTGAAGACAGTGAGTGCTCTCGTACAAAAGTTCATTGTACTCCTTCACCCTTGTGTCTGCGCAATCTTGGCAAATTTCATTCTCTCGTCTTCTGCTTTTTCGGGTCTCTCCGATGTCTTCGGATATCGTAGCCAGAGGCTGTAGACAGCGTTTGCTTCTATGCAATAAACGGCTTGGCTTTTCCATCGCTTTGTTGAGTACGTTTAAAACCAGTGGGATGTGCTGTTCTCGTACTGGTGTGAAGATACTAATTTTGTGTTTCTCAGACAATGTTTTGTTTTCTTAATGCTCTTCAAGTCGCCCAGTTGTAATTTATAGTGGTCTTGTTTGAAATGCTGGAACAGTCTGAATTAGAGGCTACGTGTTACTTGCCAATATAAGAGTGAGAGACCCTCTAGAAAAGCAAATATTTTGGCATAAAAGCGTCACGTACTTTCTAAAGGGCAATATCATGTTTTTGTCACGCATAGAAACAAAAAAATAGTGAAAATAATAACGAAAATTCCACCATGTGGTTATTCAAAATTTATAAAGTTTTAATCGGAAGATTTCTCCAGCGCTGGTTTCATTGTTGTTTCTACAATAGTTCGTGTCCCTCATCAAAACTATAATTTTATCTCGTTTTGAATAATTAATTTTGGTGACATTCAACTATATTTACCCAGTAGGTTCTATTTCGATCTGAGTCACTAACAGACTTCGTCTCATGGTCAAGACATACTCTGATACATTCCGCACCATTAGTGCGGGCAAATTATATTTGCTTTATATAGTTTATTTGGAGGAGGAAACGCAATAATAGGAATTATTTAAACGAAAACCTGTAATTTACTTCAATTTCCGTTGAATTCCTCATCGAGTTGTAAAACACGATTATAAGATTTTCATTATTATCTTCATAAGTGCTAACAAACATTTCTGTCTGCGTCAATTTCGATCTTAGTAAAAAATTCACCATCTTCGGATTTATCTCTAAAAATGACTATACTTCGGAAGAAAAGATGGGATCATAAATTCTTAAGAGGCAAAACAAATCAAAACGTGCTCACAAATATTTATAAAAATACATCTTTTAAGTACATGTATATTGGACTTGTTGATACCAATTTAAAAGCATATTCGCGTTTTCTCTTTTAAGTTAATATCTTTGTTTCTGGCCCTGAGACTACTTCCATTTCGATCTGTGGGAGGACGAAAAGACCAGAAAACCAAGAAACTGAAGTTGGTAAAAAGAATCGATTTGTTTGTACGTAGGACTACGTGATCGTTGCAGCTTTATTCGGGAAGTATTTATTATCGAAGTTGACGGGCATTTTTTGCCAGGTAAACAAGACGTGTTTCAGCCGATAAGCACAAACCTTAAAATAGCATAAGTATTTTGCGGAAGCATTAAATTTTTGGAGGAAATCTGTGTAGATTTCCCTTAGTAAGCAAAAAAAATCCAAAAATTTATTGCTTTCCATCAAATGGCATATTCCAAATACAATTCAAGTGACTCTCCGTATTTTTAACTCTCTCGCAATATCCATATGCAAATCAATTACTATTTCAGATCCACTCCTCTTGCTCCTTCTCTTTCATATTTGCTTTGGTGGTATGTTGTTTTCATCATTTATAAATTCAAAGTCCAATTTGACGCTTGAAGATTAATTCTTTTGTTCGGTCATATCTCCAAAACCTGAAATATCAAGTTGAATACCTTAAATAATTATGTTATAAAATGATCGTGTCTTCCAGATCTTTCGCTGAAGTATCGGATGACTTTATGGCTGCTTGTTGATGATCTTCTCGAATAAATTCCATGATTCACATAATTCGAATATATCATTGTCTGCTCCATCAAAGTACAAGTGTTTTGTGTCGAGTACACTGGAAGTCAATCCACCTAAATGCATAAAAATCGTTCATTCAAAAAATTGTCTTGAGGATTTTTATTTTTGAAACTTCTCTCGTGGGTATTAGTGGCGGACTCGGGGAGGGGCCCGTGGGGCCCGCCCCCCCGCCCCTTACTTTGGGTAAAAAAAAAAAAGTGAACCGCAGACGGAAGAAAAGCCGGCAGGGCAAGCGACAAAAACCGAGCCCTTCCCCCCCCCCCCCCCCCCCCCCTTAGCTCCAGGTTAGGATCTGCCACTAGGTGTTTTGCAACGCAAGCCACACTATTCTTAATTCTTTTCGAAACAGCAAAAAAATAAAAAAAATAAAAAAAATAAAAAAAAAAATAACTGTATGTTTTCCTCAATTATCAGTCTTGTCGATTAGACCTCTACACTGACAGAGAATTAACAAACTTCAATCAATCATTAATTACCATAGGAGAGACTTGTTTTCTTTTTAGAGTTGAAACTACGTACTGTACATTTTGATGAAATCTATGTATATATATATACATCACAAATCATTCTCCTCGCTGATTACTAGACAGTCTAACGGATCCTTTATAGATTTTCATGTTAAAATTTAAAATTTTTTTTTTAATAGTATGTTGAGATAAATTCCCTTTCTGGAATTTTTTTGTGTTAATTCTACTTACTTTCTTAATGGACTGCGCTCGACTTTTAAAACTAAACACATTATATTTGTACTTGTATCGCAAAATATATCGATAATATTTGAAAATAATAAGAGTCAGGGATCAGGTGAGTATTTCGCCCGAAGTTCCTTCCTCTCCAATACGAAACTAAGATAATTAATCCTGGTGACATCTTGCAATAGGCTCTTCGAGATTTGTGGTAAATGTAGTTGCCAGCACGGTTTTTGAAATCATCTTTTGACGGAAATGACATCGTAAACTAAATGAATTGTTTTTATCAGCCCCAGGACTGGAATATTTCCCAAAGAAGAAATAACTCCATCAAATTAAAAAAAAAATTAGTTTCCTTAGTTTTCCGCACACACGGAAAAATTAAAAACATTTCGTTTCTAAATCAACACTCGAAAAAGAAGTTTTTCGTGAACCTAAAATCCATGTCTTTAATTTCATAAATTGTGTAAGAAAGCTCTTCTTCTTTATTTCTTTTTGAACAATTTAGAATCATCAAGTATTCTTGACTGCTATCAAGTATACGCCTTAATTTAATTTGTTGAAAAAAGTGAAACTTAATTTAAAATGCAAGAATTATTGCATTGGATTCATAAGCTTTTGGTTTTCTAAAAATTTGTTTTTGGGT